TGTTGTTTGATATTAAATTAATATTTTATTGTTTTTTTTTTCCATTTCGGGTGCTGCTCTAGCACATTCACTCAAATTTGCCACATCAACTATCATGAATCAGTAAAGATTTTTGGCACCTTTAGAGTTAATGTTGCTAAATAATTGCTTCAACAAACAGCCCGACCAACACTTTATTGTGGAGGTCAGCGTGAGCCAACAGCCCTGCCTGTCATTGAGCACAATGGGATTTACTCCACCCATAATTATCTCATTTCTATTTACACTCTCCATCTGCCCATCATTTTTAATGTGCCCCTACATTGTTTTTGTCCAAACACGTGAACGACAGAGGGCTATTTTAGAAAGACAAAATCACTCCAAAATCACTGCAAGTTTATAAACAATCTTTCTTCCCTGTACTATTTTTACTTTAATTTACAGTAAAGCCTGTTTCTTCTTTTTCCAAACCTTCAAAGTACCACAGATATAGTCCCTGACCGCAGTTCTGTGTATAAGTTCTGCCACTGTTGTCATGGAAATTCCCCTTAAAAATAGCACCCTTTAACCGGCACATTAAAAAATAGGCCTTAAAAAGTAAAATAACCTTAATAAAACTTCAACAGAGACATTTTTATCCCCACTTTTTAAAAAAAAATCAGAAGTACTGGTGAGGAAACGTTCTCAGTCCTACCAAAGTATTTTCCTCGTTGATGCGTCTGTATTAGTGTCTGCAGGCAGAGAGAAAAATAATCTGATTAGCTCTATAATGACTTTTTCTTCCCTCCTGGTTTCATATTTGTGTTCATCGTGTCTGTCTGTTTTGCTCCTATTGTCCATTAAAGCTTCGCAGGGAGACAGTAGGTCTTTGTCCTCAGGGGAGATTGGGAGGTGGGGTCGATGAACACGAGGGGGTGGGGTAGGGTAGATTCAGAAAGAGAAGGGGAGGGGTGTGGCAGGTTAATAGGGGTGGAGCAGGGAGGGTACGGAGGGGGAGTGGGTGATAATGGGTCATCTGGGATAGGCCAGGCTGATGAGTGCTGGTGTTGAGGATGCATTTAGCATATTAGMTGCTGGCTCGGAGAAAAGCTTTTAACAATAAGTAATGACAGCTGCTTGTGGGGTGAACCTCTTATCAAACATTAACCAACCACACACTCGTCCATTTAGCGTCAACACCGTATTCTGTTTTCTTTTTAGCCCGCGCACCCTCAAGTGTTCCGACAAAATACCAACCTTGAATGGATCCAGACTCCCTTCCCACTCTAATCCAAGCTCAATCAGTAAATCTGCAGCTCTGCGGCCCTCGTTGCTCTATGCTTTATCACTTTGGACCTGCTAATCCTGAAACCCCAAGAGCTCAGCTGTCCCATACATCACCACACATGACACTAAATCCTCAGTTTGGGAGGTAGCCGGCTTCCCAACACCTGTCCCATTCTGATGCTTTACAACTGAGCTACTGGCTGTACTTCTAAACAGCATGGTAAAATATAACCCGAAGGTCTGGAGGAGAGGAGTGCAGTCGACAAGGATGAAATATAGAAGACCACAAAAAAGGGGAAGGGGGGGAGGGGGGCAAAGAAGATTGCAGAACCAGATAATCACAGAAAACATTTGGTAAACAAGAGATCCCAAACTCAAATTGTTTTTTTTCAGGCTACAGTTTTGCTTGTTTCTTTTAAATGTCTGTGCAGCTGGAGGACATTCAAACAGTCACACAAACAGTGGTTTACCTAAATTCTAGATTTAAGCCACAGATAGATCGTGTGGCAGCCGTTTTTAAATACTCTTCATTTTGAGCTATTATATTTCTTCTAAATTTTGATTTTCCTTCCTCGCAGAGTTTTGTTTGGAAACTCAAAGTGAATGTTTTCAGAATTAAATCATCCCGTTAAAGTGTCCCTGTCATTGACCCCTGAAAGCATTTTGGATCAGTTAAAAAGTTCTCTGACGTTTTTCCTTCAGTTAAAAGGTAGTGTGAATATATATTTTTAATTTGAATAGATGGAGACTTTAGTCAAGCAAAAAGACAAGCTATGGTTCCTATCAAGCTGGGTAGATTTTTTTTCTTCTCTTTTTAGCACGAGGTGCCACACGGCTGGCCACAACCAAGCACGTCATTTTCTCCATACTGGAAAGTCTGGGAGGTGGGGGGTGGGGGTGTTAAAGTTACATAAATTTTATTTTCTGCAGACTGTTGCAGTACTACTGTTAAATAATGCAGCTTTCGTTCCACGATATTGAGCCTGGCCGTGTCAAGAAACAAATTAAGTCATTTAGTCTATTTTACACTTACTCAGCTGCAAACAAAAGATTAAGGAACCAAGTGGAATGGTGAATAAAAGAAAAAAATGTTTTTAAAGCAGTACTTTTGTTTTTGTGTGGTGTTTTGTGGAAAGCTTAAGAACAATAAATATCTTACCTGTTGCAGATAGCACTTTGAGCAACCTCAACGTGGAGAAACAAAGTTGTTTTTACCGGGCTGACAAGCTACTGGCTTGTCTGAGTGAGGCTAAAAATCAAAGTGAATTGCTGTTGTCTTAAAGTGCCTCTGACATGCATATTCTTCAAATACAAAAAGTCAAAGAAAACATTTTTATATTTAAGAAAGTTGGAATAATACACACAATTTAACCCATTTTGTCCTATAACTGGCATATTTTCCTTTGAACTTGGCTCAGCCAAAGTGAAACAGGAAGTGACATCAAAAGGGAGCTCTTTAACAAACAAAAGTCTCTGGTCTTTGTTTATTGAAACAATATTGTTTGAACTCTAACTCTTCTTAGTCTCTCTCTGATTGTGACTGAAAATAATCTAAAGAAACATCAGGTTCTTCTCTACAGTCTGTGTTGTTGGCCGTTGTAGCGATGCTGTGTTCACATGCAGACATTCCCCTTTGACATCACTTCCTGTTACTTCACATGCAAATATCTCAACAACCGTTCGTCTCAGTGACATGAAATTTCTTTTGCAACATTTTATCAATGTCCTCTTCCTAAAAATGCCTTCATATGTATTACAAAAAAAATTGATGTCACGGGCACTTTAAAACAACTCCTAGGAAAAATAAAAATAAATAAATAAATAAATAAAACAACTCATAGTTTAGTTTACAGACACTTGCATCACCATTAAGTTTGCATCGTATGGTTATTAAAAAGGTTATGGTTGTTTTTAAGCACAAATAGCATCAGCAACAGAAAGTTGTAACTTCAACATCAGATAAACAGTAGAAATATGAGAATATAAGTAAATGTTTTAAAAATGTATATTATCTGTTTGTCTGCAACCTGTTTATTGGCAATCTCTGCAAGCATTTTACCAAAAAAATGTGAAAAGCCTGATTTTTAATGTCAAAAGTATCTGCGCAACACTTTTCTTTTATCTTTCTTTTCATGTTTCAGTATCATCTCGTTATAAAAGTTAATGTGTGACTTTCTGTCTTTTTCTCTCTTCAGTTAATGGGATCGTTTGTTCTGGCGGTGGGACTTTGGCTGCGTTTTGACCCAGAAACTGTCTCTCTTCTCACTGCTGATAAGGCTCCGGATACCTTCTTTCTTGGTAAGTGTCAGTGTCTTCATGACAGAGAAAAACATTGAAACACAAAGTTATTTCAGTACATATGTTTTACACCACTTTATACATTCTAAAAAAATAATCAAGATCATTGGCTTGTTTTTTTTGGTTAAATTATATGTAAATTTGACATGATTTGAGAGATAATTAGATGTTAAAAAGGACAAGATTTTTATAAATTTGCTCTCTTGAAAATATGCTGCAATATAGCACTACTGCATATATGAATTTATTTGTATACTTCATAGCAAGTAATAGATGTAGTTTAAAATGAGATTTTCCATGCACCACTAAATGTCAAATTTCAATCCATAAATTGCAGAAGATGAGTGTTAAACAGGAAGTGACTGCTGCACGTATTGACTGAGAATACGTGGGGGAAACCACAGGCCTGCAAACCACCTTTCAGTCTGTCTCTCTCTCTGCTCAAATGGAGAGAGAGAGAGAGAGAGAGAGAGAGAGAGAGAGAGAGAGAGAG